GACAATATTTCAATAGAGGAAAACTTTAAATTTTACTCAAAAATTTCATGTTCCCTCCATTTCCTATTCACCCTCTTTTTAGGACTTTTCCATCTTAAAATCCGCAACAATCCCCCACATGAATGGGGAATGGCTATATCACGGAAGTATGCATGAAAAACTTGTATGATTTGCAAGCAAGGATTAATTGCATCTGGATAAGTAGGTTTCCCTTTGAACTTTCCGTAGTGAACTTATGTCGGATATACTCGGTCAATCGGTAGATTTGATATCTTTGAACCGTCGAACTTTAGTGTATACCTAGACAACCATAAGTCACACAATCAACCCTTAACCGTCTTTGGTTCTCATTGTTGTGTTCGTTTCAGCCATGAACACCGCCTGGTTTCATAAGTGCGTAGAGAACTGGCCTTACAAAGTTCTCCTTGAAGCGGCTCACACTTCACACTTAAATAGGTGATTTCTAAACGTGTCATCTCATAGATGCACTATTTGATATACCCCATATTAAATTTAGAAATCATTAAAAAGCCTTAATGCTTTATCCTTGGTACTGAACATTGTCTCATCACGATAATGGACCAATTTTTTTTTTGTTGACAATGTTGAACCGTCATTAATGACTTTGTTTGATCTCCTTAAACCTAGATCTTGAGATCTCCAGTCTTCTAGGTAGAGTTACCGCCACAATAACTTGTTCTCGGCCATAGTCCCATTCTCCTCAATGATTTCTCAACTACCTCTCTAGTTAGGCCTTTTGTAAGTGGATCCGACACATTATCACTTGACTTTACATACTCAATCGTGATAATTCCTCTAGAAAGTAGTTGCCTCACGGTTTTATGTCTTCTTCGTATATGACGAGATTTACCGTTATACATAACGCTCTCAGCCCTTCCAATTGCCGTTTGGCTATTGCAATGTATGCATATTGGTGCCAACGGTTTGGGCCAAAATGGAATGTCTTCCAAGAAATTCTGGTGTCATTCAGCTTCTTCACCGGCTTTATCTAAGGCTATGAACTCAGCCTCCATTGTAGAGTGGGCAATACAAGTTTGTTTGGACGACTTCCAAGATATTGCTCCTCCACCAATAGTGAATACATATCCACTTGTGGACTTCGAATCAGTTGAACCGGTGATCCAATTTGCATCACAATATCCTTCAATCACCGCAGGATATTTACTGTAGTGCAAATCAAAGTTTTGGGTATGTTCTAAGTATCCCAAAACTCGTTTCATTGCCATCCAGTGAGATTGGCCTGGATTGCTCGTGTATCGACTTAGTTTACTTATAGCACAAGCTNAGTACTGTCTTAATATAATGAGATTGTGACAATGCCAGACCTTGAGGAGTCTTTTGGATCTTAATCCCCAGAATTAAATCTGTAACGCCCAAGTCCTTCATATCAAACTTGCTAGTTAGCATACGCTTAGTTGCATTTATGTTGGCAATGTCATTACTCATTATCAGCATATCATCCACATATAGGCAAATAATGACTATGTGATTTGGAACATTTTTAAGATACACACATTTATCACATTCATTTATCTTAAAACCATTTGACAATATTGTTTGGTCAAATTTCGCATGCCATTGTTTGGGTGCTTGTTTTAGTACGTAGAGGGACTTAACAAGTCTACATACCTTTTTCTCTTTACCTGGAACAACAAACCCTTCAGGTTGTTCCATGTAGATTTCTTCCTCCAAATCTCCATTTAAGAAGGTTGTCTTTACGTCTATTTGATGAATTTCAAGACCATAAATTGCAGCTAAAGCTACTAGCATTCGTATGGACGTAATTCTCGTCACTGGAGAATATGTATCAAAGTAGTCAAGACCTTATCGTTGTCTATACCCTTTGACAACAAGACTTGTCTTAAATTTATCAATAGTGCCATCATCTTTCATTTTTCTTTTAAAATCCATTTACAACCCAAAGGGTTATTTCCAGGAGGAAGATCAATCAATTCCCATGTATGGTTGTTCAATATGGATTCTATTTTACTATTGACTGCCTCTTTCCAGAACAATGATTTCGGAGAAGACATAGCTTCTTTAAATATTTGAGGCTCATTTTCCAATAAAAAAGTCACAAAATCTGGTCCAAACGAAGTAGACGTTCTTTGACGTTTACTACGTCTTGGATCCTCCTGATCAAATGTACTTTCTTTTGTTTCTTCCCGAGGTCATTTAGATCCTTCACCAATCGACTCACATTCCTTTTTATACGGATATATATTTTCAAAGAATTCAGCATTATCTGATTATATAACCGTATTATTATGAATGTCGAGATTTTCTGATTTATGAACCAGAAATCGATATACTTTACTATTGGTCGCAATCTTATGAAAACACAACCAACTGTTTTCGGTCCTATTTTTACCCTTTTGGGTTTAGGAACTTGCACTTTTGCCAAACACCCTCACACTTTCAAATAATTCAAGTTGGGTTTCCTTCCTTTCCATTTTTCATATGGAATGGATTGTGTTTTGCTATGGGGTACTCGATTTAGTATCCAGTTAGCAGTAAGAATGGCTTCCCCACAAGTTCGGTGGCAAACCAAAACTTATCAACAATGCGTGCATCATCTCCTTTAATGAACGGTTCTTTCTTTCTGCAATCCCATTGGATTGGGGCGTGTAAGGGGCCGTTGTTTGATGAATAATTTCATATTCTAAACATATCTCTTCAAAAGGAGATTCATATTCACCACCCCTATCACTTCTTATCATTTTGACTTTCTTGTTAAGTTGTGTTTCAACTTCATTTTTATATTGCTTGAATGTGTCTATTGCTTCATCTTTACTGTTAAGTAAGTAAACATAGCAATATCAAGTACTGTCGTCAATAAGTTATGAAATACTTCTTTCCACCGCGAGATGGTATTGACTTCATGTCACAAATATCTATGTGAATTAAGTCTAAAGAATTTGAATTTCTTTCAACCGACTTATAACGATGTTTAACATACTTAGATTCCATACATATTTGACATTTTGATTTTCCGCATTCAACTTAGGCAATACTTCCAAGTTAATCATTTTCGCAAGGTTTTATAATTGACATGACCCAAACGTACATGCCATAAATCATTTGACTCAAGTAAGTAAGAAGAAGCTGAAGTTTTATTATTAGTTTCGACAACTATTACATTCAACTTGAAAAGGCCCTCAGTAAGGTAACTTTTTCCTACAAACATTTCATCATTACTTATAACCACCTTGTCAGATACAAAAACGCACTTGAAACCGTGCTTTACAAGAAGTCCAGTAGAGACTAAGTTCTTCCTAATTTCGGGAACATGAAGGACGTTGTTCAAAGTCATGACCTTGCCAGAAGTCATCTTGAGAAATATCTTCCCATATCCTTCAATTTTTGCTGTAGCAGCATTTCCCATAGAAAGCGTCTCTTCGGATCCAGCAGAAGCATATGTAGAAAATGTTTCCCTCACAGCACAAACATGGCGAGTGGCTCCACAATCAATCCACCACTCCTTAGGATTTCCTACCAGGATGCATTCAGAAAGCATAGCACACAAGTCATCAATATCTTCGTGTTTTTCAACCATGTTTGCTTGACCCTTCTTCTTGTCTTTCTTTGGAGCACGACACTCTACTGATCTGTGTCCAGCTTTTCGACAGTTGTAATAATTTCTACTAAACCGCTTCTTGCTTGGGTTATTTCTTGGCCCAGAAGTCTGCTTCCTCTTTCTCTTAATTTGAGAAGTAGCCTCAACAATATTTGCTCCCATTATTGTTGAGTTTCCACGGCCTTTCTTTTCAGCTGCTTTGTTGTCCTCTTCGATTCTCAACTGAACAATGAGATCTTCAAGGGACATCTCCTTTCGTTTGTGTTTTAAGTAGTTCTTGAAATCGTTCCACAAAGGAGGCAGCTTCTCAATAATTGCTGCAACTTGGAATGCTTCATTGATGACAAGACATTCAATGAAACTTCCGTTAGTAAAAATACTAAAAATTTTACTTTCAACATCAGTATACATTTTATATATACCTTCGGCAAGTAGATCATGAATAATCACCTGCAATTCTTGGACTTGGGTAATAACAGACTTGTTATCTACCATTTTGTAGTCCAAAAATTTTGCGGCAACGAATTTCTTCATCCCGATATCTTCGGTTTTGTATTTTTTTCAAGCATAGTGCACAGTTCTTTTGACGTCTCCACCTTACTGTAGACGTTATACAGATTATCCTCCAGTCCGCTAAGAATATAATTCTTGCACAAGAAGTCAGAATGCTTCCACGCTTCAATCACGAGAAAGCGTTCATTCTCTGGAGTTTCATCGGGCAAATCAGGAACATCTTCTACTGCCAGCGCTTGAAATCAATCCCGAAAAATTTTCTGGGTTTTTCTGCTGATGCCAACGCCGGTGTTCGGCTTGTTGATGCATTGGCAGTCATCATCGGAACAGCTCGATTTCCGTTGTCATTTGCCATTTTTTTTCTATAAAAGAATGACACAAATAAACGTTTAATAAACGTTTAAACTTATAGAGAAAAAAAATCACGTAGATTTTAATCTCCAACAAATCGCCACGAAGGCATTAAAACTGGAGTAAAAATCACGTAGATTTTAATCTCCAACAAAACGCCAAGAAGGCTTTAATCTCCAAAATGGGAGTAGACGAAACCACAAAGGTTTTAGTCTTCAGAACTGTAAGTTCTCCAGAGCACTAAGTATAACACAAATACAAAAATAAATTAAATTCCTTAAGCTTGTTGGTTGTGGTATCTTCTTACTTGCTATATTTGTAAATAATAATTCTGGAGAAAAGAAAATTAGCGTATAAACATAAATATAAGCGGAACAATAACTAATTCGAGCCCACTGAATTCACAGTGTTTCCTTAAGGAATGTAATGCCCTCCTAGTACCCAAGGTTATGGATTATTTCCTCCCAGGATAGAGCGAATTACACACTGGTGTAGCGGTACTTCAAACCCCGGTGTTTCAACGAACACAAAGTTCGACAGCAAATCACACTTACAGTTGCTTTGTTTGTAGTTTAAGACAATGCACAACAAAGGAGGAGAACTCAGAAGTCGAATAGAAATTCTGAGAGGAAAGAATGCAATGTATAGCCGATGTTGAGTTCTTACTGAAGAGGATTATCAATAGTTGTGTAAATTGAAGAGGAACGATTTCTTTCTGTGTGTCTTCAACAAGCTGCTTGCACCATCTATTTATAGTGCAGTTAGCTGCTAAACACGGACCCGCTGCCACTCATTTAGTGGAGCGCCAGGCTGCTAACTAATGGAGCAATCACTTGCTATTATGGAGCAAGCATTTGGCAATGGTGGGAGACGCATTAGCCTGCTGGAACAAATCCACGGATTGGAACATATCCGTTACAAACACGGATAATATTACGTTAATATTTACTATTAACAAATAAATTTGGTCAAAAAAATTAATCAATCCGAAGCCGTAGCTGAAGCCGAGCCGAGCAACGACGACGGCGGCACGAGGTTTGCCTTCTTCTTAACTCTTTAAGAGTTACAAGAAGAACAATTGTTTATATACCCACCAAAATCATTTTCCTCTTCCAATATGGGACAATGTTTCAAGAGAGGAAAACTTAAAATTTTACTCAAAAATTTTATTTTCCTCCATTTCTCATTCACCCTCTTTTTAAGACTTTTCCATCTTAAAATCCTCAAAAGTACGTACCTTTATCCTTCTTCTTCCTCCGAGAAAGATAGTAGGAGACGAGAACCAACACAGAAAGCACAGCCAACTGTAGTTAGACTACTTATGACTGCTTTAACCACATGCCTCTTAGCTGTTAAAGAGAAGCAACTGCTATCAGCAATAAGTTTTAAGTAAAAACAGATTGACAGATCTAAGAATTGGATGATCTTTATTTATTTGAACCAAACACAAAAGCATGCTTCCTAAAAGACAAGAAGCACCTTGTTTTGAAGCCTCGATCCGTATGTAGAAGTCCTGGCCACCATTTGGAAACCAAACCAAACGACAGTTCTGATGGGATACTCTTATACCAAATGCCTAAGTACCCGTCCGCTGAACTGCCTGGACTAAAGAAACTCAGTCCAAATGTTCCTCCTTCAGTAACTAAGCTCTCACCATCACTTAGAGATTGATATCGATCGATGCTATGGGACACTGCACGCGTTCTCCCCATTGAATAGAGTAAACAACAACAATTGCAAGGAGAAAAAGACAGACAAGCTCTACCTGTCCCAAAGTGATGTTGACTTTGCCAGGAATTATGGGTCAGAAGCGGATTCAGTATTTGAAGTTTATGAGTTTTTATTGTAATATCAAATTAATATACAATAATAATTGGGTTCACAGTTATATTTTTATTAATATTTGATGGATTTTTTAATAAAAATACAGAATCTACACAAAAGTTATTGGGTTCCCGGAACCCGATAAACAGAGGCGGATCTAAGATTGGAAGTTTATGGGTTCCTATTGTAATATCAAATTAATATGCAATAATAACTGGGTTCACGCTTATATATTTATTGATATTTAATGAATTTTTTAATAAAAATACAGGATCTATGCAAAAGTTATTGGGTTTCCGGAAACTCAGTAAGTATACTCTACATCCGCCACTGCCACCAGGTATACTTTACATCCGCCACTAGTATGGGTCAACATGGTAAGGTGAACCCTGAAATATTCTAAGGCTCGAGCAAATTCTTCAGGCCCTTTCAGTGTAAACTAATGAGATGACTGGAGAATATTATCACAAAATTTGTGGTTTTTGCTCTCTTCTTGATGGAGAGATTACCAACAAATTTAGCCGTCACAACAATAAGGGCAGCCGGGTGCACAATGCATCTTGCGGGGTTCGGGAAAGGGCCGCACCACAAGGTATGTGATGTAGACAATCTAACCTAATGCAAGCATTAGTGGTTGCTTCTACTGCTCGAACCCGTGACCTATAGGTCACATAGAGACGACATTAGTGTTGCTCCAATGCTCCCTTTCCCCGACACACAAAGCATCTCGTGTTCACGCAGGGTCCGAGGAAAGACCGCACCAAGGGATGTGATATAGACATCCTAACCTAATGCAAGCATTAGTGGGTGCTTCCACGGCTTAAACCCGTGACCTATAGGTCACACGGAGACAACTTTATCATTGTTCTAAGGCTCCGCTTCCCCGATGCACAAAGCATCCCCGTTTATGCAGGGTCCGAGGAAGGGCCGCACAGCCTACCCTGATCCAAGTATCACTGATTCCACGGCTCGAATCCGTAACCTATAGGTCACACGGAGACAACATGACCGATGTGACAACTTGCCGTCACAACAATGCAATTTTCAATTAGCTGAGCAATTACAGAAAGAGGTGTAGAACTATTAGAAAAATCAGAGTCTGTGAACTGGCAGCTATCTTTTTAGTCAATTTTACTTGTCAAGGTAACAATGGTGAATATAATCTAGTTTTTCTAAGTTTGGTTAAAATCACAAGCTCAAAACAAAGATACAGATGGTAACAAAGACATACATAAATAAAGCCAGAAACAACAAAAAAAGGAGAATAACACAAAAGGGTGCAGTAAACATCTGTATATATTATCAATGGTTTTCTGTGTTTACATTATAGAAAGTATAAAAGAGAAAAAGTTAGAATGAAAACTCAGAATCTTGGTTAAGAGCCTCATCTAACAAAAACTGAGACTGTTCCATTAATTCAGGACTCAATCTAAACATCAAAACACAAAATTCCATCTGATTAAGAGCTCCATCTCCATCAAAATCGCCTTCTTTTAGCATACTCTTAAGATCATCATCACTCAAATCTTGAAGCCCTAACAAAGCAGAATTCTTTTTTAGACTCTCAAATGTAATGACCCTTTTATCCTTATCCATTAACAACTGAAACCCTTTACATAATTCACCAATTAAACCATCCCCACCTAGTTTTTCAGCCATAAGTGGCAAAAAATCATTGAAATTGGATTTTCTTGACGTAGCCATTATTGAAGAAAATGGAGAGAAAATAGAAGTGAATTTGAGAGAAGATTTGAACTGTTTTGGTAAAAAGGGTGTGTTTGTGAATAATATATAAGGAGAAATTGGACGGTAGAGAGGGGTTTCGGAGAAGGGGACAATAGGAAAAAGGCCATGAGAATACAACTAAGAAACTGTCTTTAACGCGAAATTGCCTTTGCTTTGGACTGACGGTTGACGAAATTGCCTCCCAATTTCGATGTTTGGTCCTGTTACGCCACTTGCCAGGGGTATATTTGTCTTTTTATTTTTGAGTATATTGGTTAAAGAGAAAATTATTTAAAGAGGAGACGCCGCGTATTTTTTATTTTTTATTTTTAATTAAGTTTTTTCTTTAATTTCTTCATTGACAGGAGTAAGAATATTGGTAATAGTTAAGAATTATACTCCCTCCGTTCCAATTTATGTGAACTTGTTTGATTGTACACGGAGTTTAAGAAAAAATGAAGATTTTTGGAATTTGTGGCTCTAAACAAGTCAAAAAGGGGCCCGGAGTATTTGTGTGGTTATAAAAACTTCTCATTAAGGGTAGAATTGTAAGTTTAAGCTAAATTATTACCAAATTTAGAAAGGGGTCATTCTTTTTTAGAACGAACCAAAAACGAAATAGGTTCACATAAACTGGAACAAAGGAAGTATATAATAAGAAAATAAGCATAATAATAATAACCAATAAACGATTATTTGAAAATCACTTAGACCATCATAAATAATTTATAGGTGATTGCTAGGTAACACATAGGCCGCCTATGATTTAAGCAGAATCTCCCACTTTATAAAAAATAATCTTGATAATAATTAATAAGCAATCAACGAAAGATCACTTAAGTGATTATAAACAATATATAGGTTAATTTTTAGATAATACATAGGTGATCTATGATTTTATTAGGATCTCCAACTTTATAACAAAATATTCGTGGTAATAACTAATAAGCGATCAACCAAAAGTCACTCAATCGATCATAAATAATATATGTGTGATTTCTAAGTAAAACATAGGCGATTTATGATTCCAGCACGATCTCCCACTTTATAAAAAATGATCCTGGTAATAACTAATAGGCGATCAACTGGAGACCACACAAGCTAGCATAAATAATACATGTGCGATTTTTATATAACACATAGTCAATCTATGGTTTCACTAGGATCTCCCACTTTATTTAGAAAAAGATCATCGTAATAATTAATAAGCGATCAATCGGAGATCACTTAGGCGATCATAATCTAGATAACATATAGGCGATCTATAATTTCACAAGGATCTTCCACTTTATAAAAAAGATCCTGGTAATAACTAATAAGCGATCAATCGAAGATCACTTAGGCGATCATAAATATTACTTGGGCGATTTCTAGTTAACACATAAGCGATCTATGATTTCACTAGAGTCTCTCACTTTATAAAAAAAATCATGATAATAACTAATACGCAATCAACCGGAGATCACTTACAGCTTGTTTGGATGGTTGTTACCCATTGTATCGTATTGTATTGTTTTCCCAGAACAATGTTTGTTTTGATTGTCTAGTTAAAATTGGTTGTATTGTATTGTTAAATCTATTGTTCCGAAACAATGAAAAGTCCCACTTTTTGAAACAACCGATTTGGTGTGGTGGGACTGTTTCCTATTTTTCTTTCTAATTATGCCCTAACTTATTACTTTATAATTCTATTTTACCCTTTACCTTTTTTTATTTTAAATAATAGCAAAGTCTCTTTCTCATATAATTCTATAATAGAATTCTACGTGAAGTCAGCATCCCAAATATAATACATATTATATATAGGTGAAGTCTAATAACCTACATACGTGAAAAACTTGTTTATTCCTTCTGCCGCTTCCATATCTTCAGGTATGGGTTTTGTTTTACTTTTGTCTCATTATTTCTTCTACTTTGATTTGTAATTCCAATTTCTAATTATTTTATCTCCAATTAGCTTTATGATATTGATTGTTTTCAAGTGTGCAAAGTATTATTATTTTATGGTATAACCGTTAAGGATTTTATTGAATATGAGTATTTCATTATGAATTATATGTCATGTTAGAAAACTTTTATGCTATATACTTCAAGTTATGAATTATATGTCATGTTGTTAGGCAATATTACTTATGGTCTAAATTCTGAATGGAGTTTACTTAACATTTTATTTTCATTTTTTATTATCATCTAATTATGAATATACTGTACTTATTATTAACTTGTTCAACTAATTTCGATAGAATTTGCATGAATTTAATTGCTTAATTTATATATAAGACACAATTGGTGATAAATTAGCAGAAAGGGGTTTTCTTAAATAATTTTTATGTGTAATTCTTAATAAATTAAATATTTAAAACAATTGAGGATATTTTAGTAAACTTATCAGTTACAGTACAATATGATATAGTCAAATCAAACAGCAAAATGTTATTTAACAACAGCAAACAATACAATCTATCCAAACATTGTATTCAAAAAACGATACGATACAATACAATACGGTACAATACGATACATTATAAAACGATGGGGAACAGTGATCCAAACAGAGTGTTAACGATCATAAATAATATATGGATGCTTTCTGAGTAATACATAAGCGATCTATGATTTCAACAGGATCTCCCACTTTATAAAAATAATAAAATAGAATCCTGATAATCAATAATATGCGATCGACGGAGATCACTTAGGCGATCATAAATAATATATGAGCAGTCTCTTAATAATACATAGGCGATCTATGATTTTTCTAGGATATCTCACTTTATAAAAATGATCATAATAATAACCAATAAGTGATCAACGGAAGATCATTATGCGATTTAGTACAGCAGATTTTGGAAAATCCAAAGTACTCTCATCTTTCCCAATTTTACCTATTGAAACCAGAAAATAAAATCCACAAATCAAATGCACATTTACCCAAAATATCAACTATATTACTCTAAGTTACAAGTATGAATATTCAAGAAAGTATGGCCATTAATTCTTGTTTCTCTATATATGTTTGCAATGTATTACATTATAGGAAGTAAAAAGTTGAATAGTTACAATGCAAAGTCACAATCTCAAAGAGTCAAATAAAGACAAAAGTTAGAATGAAAAGTCAAAATCTTGGTTAAGAGCTTCTTCTAAGAAAAACTGAGATTGTTCCATTAATTCAGGACTCAATCTAAACATCAAAACACAAAATTCCATCTGATTAAGAGCTCCATCTCCATCAAAATCACCTTCTTTTAGCATACTCTTAAGATCATCATCACTCAAATCTTGAAGCCCTAACAAAGCAGAATTCTTTTTTAGACTCTCAAATGTAATGACATCTTTATCCTTATCCATTAATAATTGAAACCCTTTACATAATTCACCAATCAAACCATCCCCACCTAGTTTTTCAGCCATAAGTGGCAAAAGATCATTGAAGTTGGATTTTCTTGAAGTAGCCATTGTTGAAGAAAGTAATATTAAAGAGAAACTTAGAAGTGAATTTGAGAGAAGAAGCTTTGTTTGGGAAAAAGGGTGTGTTTGTGAATAACATATAGGAGAGATTGGAGGGTATAGAGGGGTTTCGGAGAAGGGAACATAGGGAAAAGCCATAGGAATACAACTAAGAAACAGTTGCCTTTGCTTGGCCTAACGAGTATATGAAATTGCTTCTCAGTTTCTATTTTGGACTTTTTCAATAAGGGTATATTTGTCCTTTACAAAGCCTTCTCAAGCTAGGAAAAGGAAAGAAAAAAAAAGCAGATTCCTTTTGTCGGGAACGCTTTATCCCAACGTGAGATTTTTCGTCATGAACTCGAATTTAATCGGGCCTCAATATGAATATAGGATACCGGATAAAAAACAACAACAACGACAATAACAACAAACCCAGTGTAATCCAATAAATGGCGTCTGAGGAGGGTAGTGTGTACGCAGACCTTACCTCTACCTTATAAAGATAGAGAGGTTGTTTCCGATAGATCATCGGCTCAAGAAACAGTAGAGATAAGGCAACAAGTAGCAAACAATAGTAAAAGCCAAAAAAATAAAAAATAAGAGTGGACCTGGACCAAGTATTTTTAGAATCATCACCAAAGAATATGATGAGATGAATAAGATTTTTTTATTTTAATCACAATTTTCCCGTTCGAGCCTAGAATGAAACTGTTCTAGAATAGATGGAAGAAATTTTAAAATAATCAGATTTACAAGTGGTCATTCAAAAATAACCACAGTTTCAGAAGTAGTCGAAATTTAGCCACTTTTCATGTAAAGATAAATCTGAACGAAAACACTGTTCAAATCCGGAAAAATACTCCAGTATAATTTATTGGAACTCCAGTATAATGTACTGGTCCAGCATAATATACTGGAACTTTCCGCGTGTTGTAGTTCCAGCATAATATGCTGGAAGTTCGTACAGAGGTGCACTGATCTCTAGTATATTATGTTGGAACTTCGTGTTGCAACAAAATAGTGACTATTTTTTAATGACTTTGCAAACACCGGCTATTTTTGAATGACCAGTCCGAAAACTGGCTAGCCCATTTTATTTTTACAGAATAAACATGTGTCACATAAATCCGAATTAATCGAAACTAGGATATCTATAACCGAATATTAAAAAAATGTATTTATTGAACTGAAAAGGATCTCAATTTCGATCCTTCCTTATATGAGTCTAAGTGGCACGTTTGAATTAGTTGAACTAATAGCTTTCGAGTACCACACTATTGTTTTTTATTTTTATTTTTAAATGCACTCAATATTTACTTAATCGATAATTGAATAATACATGTTTCCACATAAATTTTTATTACTACTTAATCATAATTAAAAAATTTATATTTTATTTCATTTATTATGTAGTTAAAAAATTTTCCGAGCTTGAATATTATCTGGAAATTATCACCTTAAATATTCTTGTTCTCTTCTCTTTTTCTTTTTCTGTTTTTTTTCATTAAACTTTTCCTACTGATAAAGCTTTAAAAAAAACACAGCAGAAATTAAATGCTTGAAATTTGGAAGATCGGACTGTATCCCAAGAAATCACATTATCTTGGACTGTGCGCCCACCAGAACTAGGGAGGAAAGTATGTAAGTTTATTGTTAAACAAAATTAAAAGAAAATAAATTATATCAATTTATGTGTAATTGTGTACAATTTTTATTTTGAACGTGCAAAATGTTTAACACAATTCTCTTAATATATTTTAATAAACACCTTTAGCCAATTTGATTTGGTGGAGAGATAAATCATAGCCTTTTTCATTGTACAAGCGTGGTTCATTGGATTCGTTCATTTTTCTTTAGGTTATACATTCACTTACGCAAAATGAAAAAGGTGACATTCACTTATGCAAAATGAAGGTTACATCAAGTTTAAGAAAATTATAAGGATAAAAGTTTTATCAGAGTGACTTTTTCATTCTTCAACAGTCACATCAACTTAACGGCGATAAATTTTTACTATAAAATGCTTAAATATTTTTAAGGAAAAATGAATATATAACCTATTTCTTCTAAAATTGGGGCCCCTTTAAATTGGGGGCCTAAGGATATGGTTAAAATAGCACGAGCTAGCCAATTTTCGGATTGGTAATTAAAAAATAGTCAGCGTTTGCAAAGTCATTGAGAAATACCCAATATTTTGCTGCAATACGAAAAGTTCCAGCATAATCTAGGTTGGAGCACCTCTGTATGAACTTCCAGCATATTATACTGGAACTCCAGCACACAGAAAGTTTCAACATAATATACTGGAGATTGGAGTACCTGAGTATGAACTTCCAGTATATTATACTGTGGCTATTTTTCAATTACCACTTGTAAATCTGGCTATTTTTGAATTTCACCCGGCATATGTCTTACTTGTCAAGCCTTTTGAGCCGGCTCTAGTAGATTCCTTTTCATAGTTCGATCCTTCCCAATAAAATACGACGTGTTGAATTCTGATTGCTAGGTTACACTCTGTATACGGTCAAAATCAAGGAGCCCGATTTTGAAGTCTTGAATTAGGCTATGAGTCCGAGTCCGAGCGACTTGGAGTAGGGGTCGGACCCGGCTGAAGGATACACACCTCGAGAAAGCAGATCGAAGGTCTGATACGACCTACATCGAGGGCAGTACATTCTCGATGGCACTCAAGAAAGAGCAAAAATTTCTCAAGGACACGTGAATCAGGGCATAAATTAAAGGATAAGATTTGTATGAAATGGTACAGGTCCATACTAGGTTGTTATACACCTGTACCAATAGAATTCTTTACCTCAATTATGAATGTAATATATTGAGGTTTTCTCCTCCTATATAAAGGAGACCCCAATCATTTGTATTACACATTATTCACTACAATAGAATATTCTTCTCAGTTTTTCTTGTTTAACATGCTCAGCAAGTGTTCTTCAGCTTTATTGCTTTTACTTTATTGTTCATATTTCATTGTTCTTAGCTCACCTCGAGGCCCCCAAGGAAATCGAGCTCGAGGTCCTTATTGCTCTAGAAACACTGGTTTGGTTCATCAATTCTTCTTATTTAAACCTAACATTACGTGTATATTCACTAGTATTAGAATAAATCACATATCTTTAAAACCACAAATTATATTTAATTGTTATCCCCATTTTTTGAGGTAAACAGTTTGGTGTCCACCGTGGGGCTAAAGATAATAGTGATTGTTTTAGTTCTAGTTTTATGATAACACACGTTATTCTTTACACTTTTTCTTGTCAAATATTTTTTGATTTCAGGCTTAAACATGTCTAGCACACATAATGCACCTATTCACGAGGACGAAGGTCTTGGAGAAAACAGCGGTATAGGGGTCTGTATACCACACATAAACCCTGAGGAAGTGCCAAACATGGAGCCAGTTGAAATCAGTTTGCACAACGCTCTAAACATGGACGCAGACACAGGCCCCGCAAGGAACGCACATAGGGAAGCCCGAGCAGGAAGGCAAGAAACACGAGGGATGGAAGAAGGAGGAGTCAGCCTCCAAGTGATATTCGAGATGCTGCAAGCTCAGCAAGTCGTCATCGCTCAGCTTCAGAGTCAGAACAGAACTCATAACACAGCCGAACCAGTGAACACTCGGCGTGCAGAACCAATGAGGCCTGATGAAAATGGCTCGGGGACTGACCCCACTATTAGGAAAATGCTAGAGGAGCTCGCCAAAAGGATAGAGACCAGAGAAAAGAAGATTGAAGAAAATGACAAAAACATGGAAACATGCAATTTAAGGGTCGACCAGATATCGGGAGCACCTCCGATTTTAAAAGGACTGGACTCGAAGAAGTTCGTGCAAAAAATATTCCCCCAGAGTGCGGCTCCAAAGCCTATCCCGAAGAAGTTTCGGATGCGAGATATCCCGAAATACAATGGAACCACTGATCCCAACGAGCACATTACCACATACACTTGTGGCATAAAAGGGAACTATTTGGAAGACGATGAGATCGAATCAGTTTTGCTAAAAAAATTTAGGGAAACTATATCTAAAGATGCCATGATTTGGTACCATAACCTACCCCCGAACTCTATCGATTCGTTTGCCATGCTGGCAGATTCATTAGTGAAGGCATATGTCGGTGCCATAAAAGTTGCAATAACGAAGTCCGACGTATTCAAAATAAAGCAAAGGGAGAACGAGATGCTGAGGGAATTTGTATCCCGTTTTCAATCAGAACGAATGGAGTTACCACTAGTCTTTGATGACTAGGCCGTACAAGCCTTCACTCAGAGGCTAAATGAAAGACGTTCGATAGCTTCGAAGCATTTGAAGCACAACTTGGTCTAGTATCCCGTTGTGACCTGGGCGGATGTGCATAACAGGTACCAATCAAAAATTAGGGTCGAGGATGACCAATTGGGAGCCCCCTCGGGCTTAGTTTATCCAAGCAAGTTACTAGCAAGGGAGTTAGGAAATACAGACAGAGGATCAAGATTCAACAAAGAACAATATCAACCGTATGATCGAAGGAACAACGGCCCGAGTCACAACACCTCTCGGAGCGATCAAAGAAGCGACCGAGGACAAGGTTTACGAGGGCTTATGAGCAAGAGTGGGTTCGATAAGCATGCTGACCTCGCCGAGGTCCCACGATTATCAGAATACAACTTCAGCATAGATGCATTAAGGATCGTCTTAGCTATTGGGAGAATCAAATATGCTAAGTGGCCCAGGCCAATACAGACCGATCCCTCCCAAAAGAACCCGAACTTGATGTGCAAGTATCATGGCACGCATCGTCATAGAACGGAGGATTGCAGGCAGCTAAGGGAGGAAGTGGCTAGGTTATTCAATGAGGGCCACCTTCGAGAATTCTTGAGTAATCGGGCTAAAAATCACTTCAGGGAAAGAGATGCAGGCACAAAGAATGAACCTGAAGAACCTCAACATGTCATTCACATGATCATCGGCGGAGTCGAGTCCCACAGGGACCTATATTAAAACGTACCAAGGTATCCATCACAAGGGAGAAACGGACTCGGGATTACATACCCGAGGATACCCTCACATTCAGTGAGGAAGCCATTAAGGCTTTATCTCAATCTCACATTAATGCACTGGTAATTTCTATCCCTTTAAATAAAGTTCAACTTAAGCATGTTCTCGTGG